TCACCGATAAGGTGCCAGCGTCGCAGCAATGGAGACAACCGGAATCTAGAGCAGACTTCTTCAATACACTTGCACCAGGTTAATCTTGGCCGCAAACCGGTCTTCTATTGGTCGGCTGGGTAAGAAGCAGTCACTTCGCTTCCTTTCTAGAGGCATTCGCAACACATGCCCAGATCATCGCATTTGTGGCTTCTCAATCTGGAGAAGCAAAAGCTGTACACCAAAGCACTCCCATATTTCAGTATTCCGGATCATGTCGAGATGCGTAAGGTCAGCGACTCGTCTAAGAAAACCCATCTCAGCAGCTTGACCAGGGTTCGAAGTTTTTCAGTCATGGTCCACGACTCGTCACCATTGGCAAGCATGGAGATAAAGATCGGCTTGAATACCGAGAGCTTAGCTGACAGACTCAGCTCTGCTTTAGTAACAGTGGTTCGGCGAATTCACACAGAACGCCATCTGCAATTCCAATCCGCCGGTCGATTCCTTCCTCCCGTCTTCCATCACCAGAAAACACGACCCCAAGGGACTTGAACTTCTCCGTTTAGTAGAAGAGAGAAACCTGCAGGAGAAGAGAAAGCTCTATACTCTTAGTTTTACATACGTTCACACGTATGCCGGCCACGTCGAACTCGGCTGCGAACCTCTCCTGAGAGCGCTGGAGATCAGTTTCAGAAGATGCCACCAAATCAAAGTCGTTAGCAAACAGCAATCTTCACGTCCCCACATCTCTTACACTGATATATTCATCGCCTTGGTGCATCTGACTATTCCATCCATCTATAAATCAAACAGAAGAGGGGACAGGGCGCAGCCATTGGTGGAGACCAGAGCCAACGTTAAAAGCTCTCGAGTTAACGCAATTTATTCTGATGCAGCTCTCGCTATCAACAAATAGTGACTGAATAGCACGTGGCAACTAACTATCGATCCAATATGTTCGCAGACATGCCTACTGATTGTTGCGCGGGATGCAGTCATAGGCTTTCTCTGGATCCACAAAGCACACATAAACCAGATGGGCCAGCTCCCACGGTTTCTCAACAATCTGGCGTAGAGTGAATATTTCGTCAGATGTGCTTCAGCCCAGCCGGAAGCCACAATGATCTTCTTCTATCTTGGAGTCAGTTATTTCGCGGCACTTCCTTTCTAGCATCTTTGCGTAAACCTTATCCGAGAGGCTCAATAAGGTAATGCCCCGATAACTGGAGCACTGCCTGTAGTCTTGCTTCTTGAACAGGAGTAGTACAACTCCCGTTATGCAGTCAGCTGGAGTCTTCCGCGTAGCCAGTGCAGTTTGATAGACCCGTGTAAGTCAGCACATGCCTTGTTCGCCCACTGCGTTGAGCATTTCAGTAGGGATTTCATCAAACCTATCAGCCTTTCCGCCTTTCAAGCTTTATACAGCTGTGTGATTTCATTCACACAGGTATTAATATCCATTCCCTGCTGCTCTTCAGGTGAGTCTTTCTGCGGTTGCTCAAAAAATTCTACCCATCGCGAATGTTCTCACCCTCGGTAAGAGGGTGTCCAGACCTGTCCTTCAAGACTCTTCTTTTCACCTTTGAGCAGACGACCGGTGACCAACGAGAATAACTTGTTTGCCGTCAGGAAGTTCAACTCCAACACCTCATCGAACTTCTCCAAAGAATCAGCTTTGACTTTCGCCAGTATTTGCTACCACCTTGTGCGCTTCTACATACCGCATGGAAGCTGACGTTTCAAATCAAATAAAGGAACCACGAAACAACAACTTGCGAAGATCACCTGCCTTACTTCAACGAATGTCAGTTACAGATAATTGTTTTTATTGTCCGTTAGCCGAATTTACGCTGTCTTTCTCTCTGAATGCCAGCTTAAAAACTAGTTGATCCTTAACAAGTCGCAATTATTGCCATCGCGTGGTAACTAGAGAACGGCGCGTCTGAATAGCACATGTATGTAGACAAAAAACTTAAATATATGCTTCGCTAAGTCTGTATAACAGAAAAGTACTGACTTGAAGATGCGAAAAGAAAGTAAGAAAAGTAATTCTTTCTGACAAGAAAGGATGGAAAATAAGAGAAGATGCTAAGTTGTAGCTATATGCCAATCATTTGATTCTACTTGGAAGAGGTGCCAATTCTTACCAATGACATAAAGAAAAGTTGTTTAATCTTGCCTTGTCGCCAATCCTACCACGTGGCCGCACGTAACTCGCGAATCAGTTGTCCTTGTGATTCAATATGAGCGTCAACACAGAGTAAACACCATAACGGGAATGATCCGATATACTCTCGGCCAAAGGCAGCCGTTGGATCGACAAACTTCTGCGTATGGAAACAAGTGCTGCTCGTAACGAAAGTAGCAGTGACGGAGTTACTAGTAGGCTTAAAATCTCCATGGTGAACAGGAAATGAGGCAGAAACTTCGAAAACAGG